TTCCAGCCAATCTCCTTTCATCTACACCATTACGACAGCCAACCACCATCGAGAGTAATGTTTACAAGTTTATGGAGGCAACTATGACTCGAGGTTATACGGAGGAGGAGAAATCTCTCTTTGCACATCATAAGTTACTTTTTTATTATAATTACAATCGAATTATGATGATTTGTGGTACTGTACTGTGTTAGAACGTGTTGTGTTGTTATATGATAACAAAGAAATTCATAGAGGAAGAATAATTACATGCAATTTGTAGATATAATCCGGTGCAGGTGTCAGTATTCTTAACCAAAGCGAGATGAATCAATGCAGGGCGAAGTAACCTGGCTGAGTTTTGTTAGGTTAGGTTTCTTTCTGTTCTTTTAACCCCACAGTCCCACTGATTAGTAATGTTCAGAAAAGATTTTCCTTTATTAATACATTAAAATCAAAATGCACCCGGCATTTATTCAATTACAGTACAGTATATTGAAAATACATCAAAATATTTTTCCTAAAGAAAAACACTCAAAATAAAGAAGCATCAGTGTACTTTACATTTACCCCCTTGATCTCCATGGACCCTAAACACGAAAGTGTTGTAACACGTTACCATAACTCATTCAGTAACCAGTATCTTTCTGACCTGGAAACTATTCATTGTGAAGAATCTCAAAGTGATCATCAGCTGATGAATGGGAGGTAGAGGTGAACCATAGCCAACAGGTCTGTCAAGTAGATGCTCCATATCACGGAAAATATCAGGAAATCTCCCTTGCTGAATCTATATCGTTGTCTGAATTGTGTGTCATCGTAAAAATTTATAGGATTCTGCCTATCTACCATCAGTCTTCTCTCTGCAAAGTTTCCAATTTGACGATATCACCGAAAAGCGCGCTTTGTCAAACTTCATGTTCACTTGCTATCTTGAATGACAGATCGACCACTAAACCTGCCTCCAGGCTGGATTAACACAAGGATCGACAAATCCGATCTCAAACCCAGTTTGAATCTTTGTGTTGGCTCAAGTCAGCGTTCTGATTACCAACATTCGTCAATCTTCGCTCGATCCTTGGTTTAAACTCGCATGCGGTTTCAAACCAGCGTTCTGAATTCGAGCCACCAGAGTACATGAATACAAACATCAACATGCCCAAACACAATACTGTATCAAGTAATTTTTCTCAGTGAACTCATACAAAAGATCAATTTTTTTTTACATATTTTTTAAAGCACAAAATTGTTCAACACACTATTGATTACTGAAAATATCACATTGGTATTAATTCACATAACAATTCACACCAAAAACTTGTGTTGGTATTGAAATGAAATAGTGTCTACATGTCACTGCACTGGTCAATTTAGATGGACTCTTAAGACATAGAAGTAACCTTACCAAATATTCAAGGGCTTACTTTCAGTATTGTCAATAGACTCGAGGAGTAATGTCAGCCATCACACAAACAGGGAGGGTTGCCATGGTCATTGTAAGCGAGTTGCAGTCTGCTGTTATCACCTGGGGTACTTTGAGTGTACCTGGGCACAACCTGAATCTCATAGGCTCTCAGGGTGTAGGGTTATTGCTAGGATCTTTACAGGATGCTGGGTAATATGTGTCTGGTTGTTTACAAGGAAACTAGCTATATCTCTTGTAGAGAGGTTTAAACGAAGTGACAATACTTCCTCTCTCAAGGAAAGTCTTCTAGGATGAAGTGAAGTCCTCAGCTAGCTGTCTTGGCCTTTTAAGTTAGGCCAGGGATGGATTAACAATGACTTAGGTCTTGGTTGGCCCCTTTCATACCCAACTGAAGATACACAAAGATAGATAACAAAAAAATAACCAAGGATGAAGGCCAATTTATTAATACACCATAAGTGCATAGACAGCCTTAATAGCTAATTTTTATCTTGTCAATGCATTGTAAATTCATAGATTATTTTGCTATGTTAAACATCATTTACTGTATTAGCATTGTATAGCTTGACATTATAGAGACAATAACATGCATATTTATGATGAAAACCATGACAGCTGATCCCTGTTTAATAACTTCCACTTACAAAACTCTCTCCCTCTTTTTCTCTCTCTCTCTCTCTCTCTCTCTCTCTTGTTCATTCAGTACTGTATACTGTACCATTCTTACTCATAGGCCACAGCCATGTCAGCATTCCTGCTATCTAGTGATCAATTTGAATAATTTGACTGCAGAGTACAGGTAATTCTAATGTAATAACTAAAATTTCCAATGTAACACTAATTAAATAGTATAGGAATAATATATTGTCGTACTGGTAAGCTATGAGCCCCTCTAATTCTAGGTCACAGGTGTTCACCCCCCCTTTAGTCCAACCTTGTGTTAGGTCATTTATATGCTGGGTTAGCTCTCTCATTCCCAAGCATCTTTGGTAAGCTCGCATCTGGCAAAGGGGTCAGTCTTACGGTTACACTTCCTGTGTTACGCTTCGTAAATGCCTTGGCTTTAGACAATTATGTCCGGTCATAGCATTTCTTACAATTAATAGCTTGTGATGACAAGTGTTTATCCCCTCATTGTTTCTCTTTGACAAGCAGGCATTAAATTCTATCTGTTTCCTACATATCATATTTCCATTCACAGGTAAGGCTTTGTTGAACTAGCTTTTTTATTAGGAAATAAGAGACTTAGAGATAAACATTTGCTGATGGGTGCCTCTGCTTGTCTGCACCTATCAGCTGTTTTCTTACTGCTTGCTGCCATTAATTATTTGTATTATAGTAAACCCTCAGAGTAATGGGCTAATTGGTGGAAAAAACAATAATGTTATTGCTGAAAATCTGTTAAAATTTATTGTTCGATAATCCCTCGATGAAACAAATAATCCGCCAGTGGGAAAGTCTGAAAAACTGCACTGTCTTTTCAATTTGAATGTTTTACTCGAGCTGTAAACATTACCTCTGCTATCACTTACCTGCAGTGACGAACTATCAGACAACCTCTCAGCATGTCTATTATAACTGGGATCCATTATATATGGTGTATGTTATCCCAAGGGTTTGCTGTATGTATTTTAGTATACTGTACCGTGCTTGTTATTTGCCTCCGATAAATGTGTAACATTTTGACATTACGTAATGTCAAAAGTTAGCTGGAATCCCTCAACCCCGGAACTCTCCAATAGCCAGAATTGGAATTTTCCAAGGGGTACATTTTCTGGAAAATTCTGAGAAAATTTTCCCAGTACAGTATTCCCTTAAAGCTCTTGGTTTTAAAGCTTGCGTCCTTCGGAATCTCACAGATTGCCATAAAAAAAAAAAAAAATCCGAGTCCCAAACATCATAACTTATCTTATTCAGCCTCTTGACCAAGGTATACAGTAAACCCTAGCACTTCCGGACCTTTCAGATCCAGATTTTGGTTGGTTCAGGCCGACATCTGGATGTTGCAAGTTCCTATTTGGTCTCTCTCAATCCGTATGCTGTGTTTACTCCCCCGCTGCTAAAATTGGCCCAGTCCGCGTTGTCTGCTGGGCCAAGCTGTTAGGGGTTATGGTGAGCCCTCGAAGATCCAGACTAAAATGCAGGACTACCTGTCTGAAAAAGCCGATGGTCCAAATCTTCCAGCGAATAGTATAAGGATATAAGAAACACCAAAAGTACAGGAATGTAGTCTCACTTACCCTATGCAGGGAATAGATGAGTTTGTGTTGCCGAGATCGTATAATGGGGACTGGGAACAATTATTATTCTGAGTCAGAGGAGCAGGGATTCCCCTCGGTTTGGCTTGGCTGGGGGGCAGGAGGGGTGCAAGCAACACGTTTGAAGGAGGAGTCCAGCTTAAGTTGCTTTCTTGCATTGTACTGCTCCCTGATAAAAAGTTTTCTAAGAGTCCGAAGGTGTTCATAATAGTGGTACATTCGAGGATTGGATGTACTGTTAATATAAGTTAAGACGTTGTCGAGCGACTCGTGCAACAGACAACTTAACGGTAGGCATTTTCACACGCGACTCCTCTCCTCCACTGCTCTCCGCGTCATCGTTCTCTTGTCAGCAGCGCGGACAGCATCGGCAATCTCCTCAGCCAAAAGCATCTGGTAACCTGGATCACCCTCATTCTCCTCCAACCACGTCTCTACATCCTCCATGGTTGTTATTTTTTCCACCACGGTGTAACACAAAGTCGAGTTCAGGCTCATTATCAAGCAGAAATTTCTTCCAGCTGTTAGCTGAGGTGGATATCTTGACATCCTTCCATGAAGCAGCAAAGTTAGAATATGGCTGATTTCAAATTGTATTTCTTGATGTTGGCTAATGTACGGTGCCCTCTTGTGTCATTTACAACATCTTCTTCGTCCTCCAGCACTACCGGCACTTTATCCAGGTACTTGCTCTGGTTTAACCTCTTGCATGACACAATGACTCCCTGGTCCATAGGCTGAATAATGAACGTAGTGTTGGGCGGCAGAATCAGGGCACAAATTTTACCATCACTGTTGACCAGTTTCTCAGCACTAGGCTGAGCTGGTGCATTATCAATAAGCAGAATTGCTTTGACATCTTCAGAATCCAGCTTCATAACCTCTTCTTGGTATTTGCATACAACAGGAATGAAGTGCTTAAAAAAAAGTAACTGGCAGTTACTGGGGGGTGTTAAAAAAAATTAAAGCAGGTCTGACCAGGTTTTCCACAAATCCCAAGTATTTAAGTCTAAACTACTGTATATATGTCCTTGGACTGGGATACACTCTAATAAAAGAACAGATAAGACATTTGTAAAGGGTGAGCAAATGAGCAGAAGGTAGGTGTGATTAGAAAGACCAGGTTTTCAGTACATTTGTACATTTTCAGTACATGGCAAGTGCAGAGGTAGAGATGTATGTACTGTACAGTATTCCAAGAAAGATTGTGAGTCATAAATCCACAGTATCTTGATACTAGAAGTATTGTATTTTGTTAAGGAGAAGGGAGGGTTGAAAATGCTTGCTTGGGATGATACTGTTTAAAGTTCTTCAAATAAGGTTGTTTGTTCTTACAGGTCAACTCATCACATCCCAAGGACCTGGAACAGCTTTTGACTTTGCTCTGGCTCTTGTTGAGAAACTGATGGGTACAGAGAAAAGAGAAGCAACTGCGAAACCCATGTTGCTTCTTTAATTAGTGCTGCATATATTGATAAGAGACTTCATCCACACACATCAATTATTGTTGCAATGCCAGATGTTCTGTATTTCTCTTAACTGCATAAACATTTAAATTGAATGCCTTGAATATGAAGAATGGATAAAGTTTAGGGAAACCGAACATCAATATTACTGTATTTACTGTATATTTGCTTTATTTTGGTTTCTAATTTTTATTCACAAATTAATTTTGTTTTTAGGTTAATTTGTAGTACATTCATTTAAATGAGAGTGATATTTAAAAAGTGTATTACTGAGCAAAGCAAACCTTAATTATTTGTGAAAAAGAGAGAGTTCCCTCATTGGTGGTGGTGATTTGCCAGAAATATATCCAACTGCTATATTTTTACCACATATATATTGTTAAAAAGTTAGTTTACAGTACTCCCCTATCAATGTTTTCTGATCCACCTATTTTCTAGATTCTCAGTAATACATCTGGGAGAATAAAACTGGCATTAATAGTTACAAAAGTCATTAAGACTACAGTACAGTATCTGCAAGATATTAAAAAAAATGTTTACTTAACCTTGAGATACTGCAATTGTAAATGAAGCAAAAGGTCAAGTAGTATAGTCAAAAGTTAAACCAAATCCAATTACCCTGTATTAGTATTATTAACTTGGTAGGATGATATTCTTTTTGTCAGTGACTGTATTCTTTAATTCAATACTGTACTTGTTTTTTTAAATTAGGGGAATATGCAAGCAGTTTAATGTTAGAATATTGTACAGTGGTCCCTCGGTTAACTAACACAATTCGTTCCAGAAGGTCGTTCGTTAACCGAAAATTTCATTAACTGAAACCATTGTTTCAATGGGATTTTGGGTAATTGGCTCCAGCTCACCGAAAATTACATAAACTAAAACTAAATGCAGTAAAGTACACTTACTTTGAGGTGTGCATGTAGAAGGCTCCTGGTTGATGATGATGATGATGATGGGAATTAGAATGGGGGTGGAGGAGAAGGGAGAAGAGAAGGCACCCCATGCGCCAATTCACCCATAAAATTTTAGCTCACTTGGTGTAATTCAAGATTATTTTCTTTAAATCAACACTGCACTGCACTATATATTGTCAATATGTAAAATAAACTTCAGAATAATCAATAATTGTACTGTAAAAATGTAAAAATAGTTTATGTTCAAGAGAGTCTCAAGCAAGAAGCTTCCTCCACTGAGCAGGGACACACACTGACGCCATTTTGGGTGTGTTGAGTGGCTGTTTGGCGCACTAAAAACTAGTTCCCTGTACTTCAGTTATGTTTAATAATTGTTAAAAAGACTAAAAACTTTAATATAAGACTTGGAAAATTATTGAATAGTACAATCATCTTGATATTTACTCAAATGGTAACGAATTTAAGCCCTATAACCGATTACTGTATTGGCGGAATAATACTACAGCTGGTGAGCAGGCGAAAACATGTTGGGAAAAAATTCGTAAGGAATTCGTTAACTGAAGTGAAGAATCTTTTGGAAGGTAATTCGTTAACTGAAATTTTGTTAACCGAGGCGTTCGTTAACCGAGGGATCACTGTACTCATTATTGTTGTTGCTTGATTTTTCAGAGGAGAAAACAAGGTCGGTATCATTTCTAGATTGATATTTTTTGGTTATATGACATAAAATTAAGGATTTAGAAAACTTGGAACTACTAGTACTGTTCATTGATTATAATAAGGGCAACATTATTTGTACTACAGTACTACAATAAAATTTAAAAAAGAAACTCACAAGTATTAATTTCACATATATGTAAAGAATTGGAATGGTTTAAGATGTGCATACAGTATAGTCTGGATTTACGTGGCTTTGGTTGACGTGTTTGGTCATTTACGTGGTGCCTTGCCAGAATTGAAATGCTTTAATTACGCGGTAAATTTGGTCATTTACGCGGAGAGCAGCTGGAGGTCCAGACGTGCCGCTCCATTTTCTATTCAAGCAGCCCATGCTTGACCATAAGCAGGGATGCGGCGCTGGGAGGGGTGCGCAGTATGTCGCTGTTGCGTTATCGCTGACGTCATATGATGTATCGGACTGTGATTGGGCCACGCATCCTTACCACCCACGCATTCCCTTCGCCGCTAGCTGTGATTGGTCTAATGTAACATGATGTGCCCTGCCACCAGAGGGTAGAAGTCGCTGACCTAGCCGGGACTGTCTCATTGTTCTCAGTTCTCCGCGTATACAGTTCTCTCTTGTGCCCGCTATTCCCCTCACAACTCACAATGGCTTCCGCGGGACCCCCACCACCAGAGAAAAATATTGAATAACCTGGACCAAGCCATGATGATGTGAAGGAAATCATCGAGTTGGGGGAGAAAATTAAGCTCATCCTTGACAAAGACACAGTCAAGCATCGGTATGAAGTGTCTAATAACCATCTGACGAAAGTTATGGAGCCGTATATCCAGATCTATCTCGACAACATCAATGCTAGTCGTCAACGTAGTATTGAGGACTTCCTCGCCCGCAACCCACCACAACCACAGCCAGCCCAAGTCAGTGATAGTGAGGATATGGACTTTGAGGGGTTTGTCTTGGGAGGCCCTGCAAATCTCTGCGAGTAGTGAAAGTGATTCACCGGAGGGCAACTAATCTGCCCTCTGCCTTGGAACCAACCCCCATCCATGTATGCCGACCCATCTCTTCTACTAACGTAAGTGTTAAACCTTGATTTTTCTTTTACCTGGTGCAGTATATTATTCTCTTATTGATATTTATCTTCTATATTATGTGTGTGTGCATACCATCATAAAGTTAAGATACTATTTTTACTACAACGTACGTATTGTGTCGGCAAAAAGTGGAGTTTGGGGGTCGGCCCAGTCTCTATTTCAATTAATCCATATGTTCTGTTATTTCATTAACGCGTTTCTGGTTTTACGCGGTACTCCACGGGTTCAATTGACCGCGTAAATCCAGACTATACTGTATAAGCTCCTAGTACAGTATTTTTGTTCATTACTTCCAACCACTTACCCAAGTATGTGGGTTGGGCAAATAGTGTTATGCTTACCTACATGAGCTGATTATACATGTTCCTTAATGATTACTGCAGCACATCACAAGCAAATCACTGTAATAGAAGTTTATAAGCACCTCCAATGACATATTCACATGTACAGTAACTTGCAGTTACAGCATACCTGTTGCAGTGGTTTGTGCATTTTTGGAGATGTGGCAAATTTGTTTGCATACATCTTGGTATATCAAGCTGAATGGCTTGAGACAAACTTTATATAGTGGTCAGATTAAGGAGGATTACATACTTGACAGTAAGTAATCTTTCTCTTATTTATGAATGATACAAATTCCTGTTTGGTTTTACAGGAACAGGTTGACAATCCCTTATCCGAAATCCTTGGGGCCAGAGGCATTTCGGATTTCAGAATTTTTCGGTTTTCAGAATGTTTTTTTTTTTTTTTTGTTAAGCCTACCCAGGCACAAGTCACTGACCCACATTGGGGTCTGGGTGGCGTAAATATAATAAAAATTATAATAATAATAACAATTCATAGGTCTAGGTCGTGCTTCTCACTTTTGATCTTTTTTTCATTCTTGTAATTCTTTATTATTATTATTAGTATTAGTATTATTATTTTATTAGACTTTTATTATTATTATTATTAATTTTATTATTATATTTTTTTATTATTATTATTATTATTGTTATCATTATTATTTTATTTTGGTGTATTTTTTATTACAATTTTTATTTACTATGAATTATTATTATAATTATTATTACTATTACATTTTCGCCCCCCAGGCCCCGATGTGGGTCAGTGATCTATGCCCGGGAGGGCTAATCTCTGTTAAAAAAAAAAAAAAAAAAAAAAGGTTTTGCCCACAAAAAAAAAATTGAGGTTTTTAGAGCTTTTCGGCTTTTGGAATTTCGTATAAAGTGTTGTCAACCTGTAATTAAATTTAGATTACCAAATAAAATTTCATTGCCTGCTATCTGTTGGATGGTTGTGTGACATCAGGGGTCTCTGCCCTGGAGGTAAAATTGTGAAAACTTCCCCACAATCATACTACAGTTTCATGTTAAATAAACAATCCTCCTCAACCTATGAATGCTGATATTTCCTATTTAATTTCATTTAACATACACTGCAACAAATACGATGTTATTGCCTCTTATGTGCTGTTTTATGTTAAAAATACATTCTTTCATGGGGAGAAATGTTGTCTATCTTGGGGTGTCTGGACTCCCCCCTTTTCATCAGAAAATTCCATTACTTTTCCTTGAAATGCAATATTGTACCCGGGCATTTTTATATATAGTAAAAAGTAATTACTATTATACACGCCTCCTGAGCATTTAAAGGTTAATCAGACTCTTCACGTTAAGCTTGAACGTCATAATTCAGTCAAACCTGTTGAATACAATTCATTTTAGTATTTAAAATAAAAATGTTTAATCCAATACTATATATATTCGCATAACAATCATAGCTATGTAATTAGTCTAATCTTAACACTTATAATGAGTACTTAATTTGCCATATTTCTATGTTGTCACAATGATAACCGATGCAATGGACACAGTCTACCTGTGTAAACTTAAGTACAAGTTAAACTTACGTGTTGAAAGTCTCAAGAGAAACAGGTTAGGTGTTGACTCTTAAGATGGGGATAGCTACAGTGGCAGTGCCCTGCCCGGCGTCACATGCCCAGCCCTGGCTGGCCGACTTTGCTGCGTCAGGCGTTTATAAGCAAACCAAGCTCCCCTTACTACCACCCAACACCCCAACCCCCTCTGGGTCTCTCCATCTCAATACTCTATATACTGTATACGGGCAGGCACACCCAATAAACATGACAAGACTAACATAATGTTTGTTTGTGTCATCTTACTCATTACCGCTTGCGATAACAACTATTGGCCTTAGAATAACCTACTATCAAGTGCACAAGACTTCAAAATGGCCTCAAAATACCCATGATATTGGTCAGATTTCAAAAAAATTCTGGGGGTAGGGGGGGTTACTGAACCCCACCCCAAAAAACCCCAACTGAGTGGACTTGCTATGCTTGCCATGTTCCCCCACCAACAACTTCATGGACCCCCCCTCTCTCTCTTTGTGGATCTAACACAATATATGGTATTACACACAATATTGTATAAATAATAGTGTACTCATAAGATAATGCAATTTGCCGGTTGCAAAAGTTACGCAGGTATTTATAGAGAGGTAACGGAGTGCTGGGTAAGTAGGTGGGGGCTGGGTTGAGGCTATCTAGTATTTCCATGCTAACCTGGCCCGTAAGCCATGCCCCTTGTCTATAGCTACAAATAGCTGATTGGTTCATAGAAAATGTTTGTGTAGCTGTCCATTTATTCAAACTAAATATGTTCACAATTGGTTTAAGCAGACCTGTTATTCTCTAAAATAATGTTAAATATCTGGAATATAAAAATGAAAATGTTTCAAGGCATTAGCAAATCAGAGAGGATGTTAGAAAAAGTTAAAATATTTTTTCATAAAAGGTCGAAGACAAAGATGAAATATGCTTTTGAATAAAGTCTTTCCATTATTGCTTTGTGTTGTACCAAACCTAGTACAATAGGAAATGAACTACAGTTTGTATGGCTGGATATATCCCAAATCATTTATATTGTGGGGTTTCGAGATGTTGTCTCACACTCAGGATGGGTTGGAGAAAGGAAACGCACAATGCGCTCTCTCTACAGTATACTGTATATATTGTATTGGATGTACAGTGCAGCTTGGTTACAAGTGTGGAGTAGAGAGCTG